CGTGAGAAAAGCCAAGTTAAAGCAGAAATGCGTAAGATCTGTTTGCCTATTTAATATACTGAAGAGCTTTGTACCTAGGCTATACCGTAATTCATGAATGCCTCAGCCACATTTCAGTGGCCGCTGGGTAACTTCTAGTGCGGCACGCCCCACTGAAGCAGCTTTTCTTTCACACCTTTTTACAGCGTTAGTCGGTTGAGATTCAATTTGATGTTGCTCGCATAGTTAAGTGCGGCGGACTCCTAAACCGGGTCCCAAACTGGTACGTGGACATGTGTGCCAATCACCCAAATGACAGCCCAGCCGCAGCAACAAGCCGTCAAATTATTATTATGTGGGCCTTTTATACCCTGTAAGCCATGTAACCCCATTCAGGCTCTATAGCTGTTGTAATGCAAGTGGAAGCTCTATTTGAATGCGAACTCAAATGTCTAGGGGACACAATGTCCTCATACATAGTTGGAGAAGTATAAAAGCCTTCGCTTAATCTCTATTACAATAATACAATCAATAGAACCATCTCATTCCTTACTTAGACAGGTTCCGCTTGACACCTTGATTAAACTCTCAGCATGACAACTCAGTCTTATCCCTTATTCACATACACATATAACACTTCCCGGCAGCTGCAGCGAACAACTTTTCAAGTCAGAATTCGATTAAATGCAGATCAACAAAATGGCCGACTTCGAGTTGTGGCGTTGTCACAAAGCGGAAGTTGACAATCGCATCTACACAAGCCAGTCGATGTGTCGAAAGAAAAATAAAAAACAAAAATCCAAATGAATAAGTAGCTAAATTAAAGCGAGCGACATCAAGATCGAATTTTGGCTAATTCTCTTTCAGAGTTTATTTGATTGGCTTTGAATGAAAATCGGCTCTGACAAGAGATCACAGTGCGAGCAGCTCTTTACCTTCGGCAACAGGTTGTCTCTCCCTGTACGTGTGTGTGTGTTTGTGTGTGTGTGTATGGACTGAAGGATAACCAGTTGAAGTAGAAACACTGGCCACAGTCACTAAATTTGCTCATGTCGCTGGTTTGGGTTAACGACACAGAACAGCGGCTTGTTTTCAAGATATGCATGGAAAACTACAAATTACGCATACGCCGCATGGGCCGCTCGCTTGGCAACAGCAATAGCGCAGGCAGCGCAGCGCAGCGCAGATAAACTATCTTGACGCTTTACGATTACAAAATGAAGGCAGGCGAGAGCAAAAATAAATCCGAATCTCAATCCGAATCCGAAACGCAACTCAAACGAGTCGAMGCTTGAGTCGACCCACAAATGTTGCATGTGTTTGAAATCAGTTTAAGGTGAATTAGATTTTCACACACACACACGCACATACACGCACACAGACAGAAGATTGACGAATATTTAGTCACAGCCTGTGCTTTGCATATGCGCAGAATTATGAAATTAGTCTCGGTCTCGATTCGCTGCCAAATCGAAATGGCATTAAATGCAAACTAGTAGCAGAGCAGAGAGGCTGAGGCTGCCCGACTAGCAAATACCATGCAACCAGAGACGAGCTGTCACTAGAGGCAAGGCCATTGATATCCTGTCGGGTAGAAACGAGTGATTTCATCAATTGTGCCTTCCGTTTGTCCATGATTCATTATTGATTGACTGAATATGAAATGAAGAAGAGGCATACTCATTTTTTCAGTGTCTTTTGAATAAATAAACGAATTTCTTTGTATTGCATATAATACCTATTTATATCAATACGAATGAGTATACCTTTCCATCATGATATGAGTATATATTTTATTCATTTGCAAAATAAATATATATATTTAAATATAAACAAAAATACATATGCCCCTGCCGACAACTTTTCATTGGGTTCAAGGTGCAGAAACCAAATGAACTTTAGCGCGCGTTACGTTTTCGTTACGTGACTGTCGAGTTTGATTTGGATTCGCATTGCCACGACTGACGCATCCCCTGCATTTGCATGACAGCATAAGGAAGCTTACTAGCTCACATATCCTGCGAGAGAAAAGACTGTGCAAAGTACAGTGAATCCTTCTTCTAGCAAACAGTGCTCAGTGATAAATTTCGTGATAATTCGATAAGGCATCGCGTCTTTAATAGACTTAATTGATGTCAACTTCAAAGAAGAACATCCGCATTTAAAATATGTGCAGCATTTCGAAAGACAATTTAATCCATTAGCAGTTATCTGGCATTGCATTTGGCAGCTTCACAAGCAAACTTTGGCTTAAAGAATAAAAAAAACACACAAATAAAAAGCATATTATAATATAAAAGCGGAAATAAAATGTTGAAAAAATATTTCGAGCAATCTTAATACATTCAAAATTGTGAATAGAAATGAAGTCCAATAAATGAACAGGCAGGTAGGCGTGGCAGACCCCACAAATTATCTACTCTTTCAATCAAGGCAACGAAGTTGATCCACCTTCTGAATATGAATTTTATAATTTGGATGCGTTCTCCCACTCCAAAAAATCACACGCCATTATTATACGTCGTTATTATACTCGGAGTTTGCACTAAGAGACTGCATCTGGAACAAAAGTTAGTCAAGTTAATTAATAAATTATTAATTTCCCATAGAGCATTCATAGTGCAGGCCAAGCGTAGCCGCTTTACGAATCTGTGACTTCAGATAGATTTATGCTTATAGAAACAGCTGCGCTGGGCTGAATGGGAGGTGTCTCCTAGTCGGGTAATTCCGACTTGTAAGACTTGCAGTTCTACAATATATATTGTAAGTAGTTTTAAAGAGAAAAGAAGAGAGAAGAGAGAGAAATATCAACTTAATATAATTTGTACACTTAAAAAAAAAAAAAAAAAAAAAAAAAACAGGATTTTGGTATAAATTAAGATAAACCTTTTAATATTTGGATTTTGTCATAAATCTCAATAAACAGTTATTCTGAATTTAGGTTTAAGACATAAAGTCAATCTTTCAAAAATGATATACTATACAACCCTATGATCATTATCCTCGCAGGCTTTCTACGTCGTCTTTAATTATGTTTTCCCATTTTATTCTAGTAAAACCCTGATAGTCTATATAAGTTTTGGCTGTATAATTTGCACAATTTGTAAATCAAGCAAATAATATTTGTGTAATCTGATCAGACACTGAATAGCTGCACTAGATATTACCATGGTGCAATATTCCATTAGCCATACAAGCTGAGTTTGTTTCGCTATTGTGGCTGGAGACTTGAAGCATGAAAATTATGAATGGAGTAACCCCAAATCAGATAAAAAGCAAAGATAATGCGGCTCATGATATGTTTATGTGGCTGTTTCTGTTTCTGGGATTGGCCGCAACTACTTTTTTGTCAGGCAGATCTTCAACTTGAAATATGTGCTGGTTACAAAGGGTAAATATTTCTGTTATGTGTGGTCTCGTAGTTTAAGCGACGGAGGCGGAAAAGCTTTTTTAGATGAAAAGGTCAAAGCTTAATATATCTTAAATTCAGTTCTTCAAGCAGCGAAAGAGATGCTTGATAATAGTATTCCTCAAGTATTTCTGAAGAAATAGCGATGTCTCAGCATGAGAGTAAAGAGTATCTTCTATTCGGTCAGTCCGAGTTCATGCCGAGTGCATTTAAATTCTCATTTAGGTGTGTTAAAACTATTTATGATTGTTAATTTGAAAGCACTGTTTTTTGGATCGTTATAAATCCTGTTCGACCGCTTGACTACAGTCTATATGGCTAATTATATTATTCATTTCAATTCATTTGGCCATTAAATTGTTCCACTTTTTGCAGCAACATGCAACGATCTATACATATATATATTTATATATCTAGTACCTCTTACTAAGCCATGGCTTAGCACAGATGTTAAGAAAACAATCTGCGATTTGTTAAGCTGCTAAAACTTCTCGAGAAAGAGAGGATAGCGGGAGGGAGTGAAAGAGAGCGACTTGGACTTATGCATCTATTGTTTTTGATTTTTAATAATATACGGCACATCTTGAAATTCCGTATAATTATATGCATACCCACGCCCTCTATATATAGTTCATAATGTATGCAAACTCCTACAGAATCTTGCTCCAAAGCTGTTCCGTTACTTCGGGCAGAGCGAATAGCATTTATTCAAGCTGATGCGACTGCAGAGGTCCCAATCGGACACTCGGAATGCGGAATTCGGCTATTCAAAGTGTTTAGACCGAGGGGTTGAGTAACTTGTTTGCTGAGGATACTCGCAACAATGCAATCGGTGACTAGCCAAGGCGCAGACGAGCTGACTGGGGGCCTTAAGTGCGCTACAAATCGAAAGGTGCAATAAAATGCAAGAGCTGCAGACGGGCTGCAGATGCAGATGCAAATGCAGATGGGTAGCAGCTGCGCAGATTGTGTAAGCCTAATCCTGCTGCCCACAGCCTACGACTAACAATCTGACAGACTGTCAGGCGAGGCAAAGTGCGCAGTTGCACCGCAAAGCGGAAATCTTGCTGAGTGCCTGAATGGCTGAGTGGTGGTGGCCGTTGGTAAGCGGGCCAAAAAGAGATTCGCGAATGATCCATGCAGGCCCAAAGCCTTCGCTCACATTCCACTCAAAGCTTCCACTCAAAGCGCTGCACGGCCAACGGCGTCTGCTGCTGCTTTTCGGCTTTGACTCACTTTCGTTTTTCAATTTTTTTGAGTGCAGCGTCACAGTCAAGGCGTTAAGCGTCTGACGCCGAAACGCGAGCAGCGGCCGCCAGCAAAAGCAACAACAGCAGCAGCAGCAACAGCAACAGCAGCGGCAGCAACAACAACAGCAGCAACAGCTGCTCGCCTCCAAGCGTCTGCTGAGCAGAGCTGCTGCTGCTGCTGCTGCTCGGTGCTGCTCGCTGCTGGCGTCGCAGTCACTTGAGGCGGCTCAGCGCTTTGTTCGAGCTTTAGTCGCTAGTGTATGATAAAATCACGTTAGTAATCAATTGCAAGCTCACCAGCCAAGACCGCATAGCCAGCGCCAGTTGCAAAAAGGTTCCAAATAATAATCAAAAACGAAAGAAAAAAAAAAAACAATATATATATTTGAAAAAGAAAGAAAAAAACAAAGTTTGAAATCGTATAAAAGCATAACTATTGTATTTAAACAACAAGCGAAAGAAAAGCGTTTTCGTACTCGCCGCCGTTGCTACCCGTCGCCGTCGCACCAAACGTGAGGATATACTTTACACACACACATACACCAGCATACGCACACGCACACACGTACACACACACATAAACGTAACGTAATCTTGAGCTAGGTAAAACAAAACAAACAAGCAACAACAACAACAGCAATATTGCAGCTAATGCAACTGCAATAACAACAACAACAACCGCCAAGCCGAAAATAGTTACAACAAGCGCAAATTCCGCAAGTTTCGCCCAACATACACACATATATATGTATTTATATATATATATGTATTGAATACATGAGCCAAAACAAAACTAAATCCAAAAACCAAGCCAAACCCGAAGAAACGCTTAAAGTTTATGACGAAATTCATTTAATTAAATTTACTCTTTTTGCATATTTAAATTTATTTTATTTTATGTTTTTTTTTTTATGATTTTTTTGTTTACATTTTTTTTCTGTGCTGTGCATATTTTTTGATCGAAAAGCCGAAACAAAATTTACGCGTGTGTTGAACTGTTTTTTTTTACAATTTTTTTTTTTTTTTTTTTTTTTTTCGTACTTGGCCTATGCCGTGCCCATACAAATGGATTAAAGGGTATCTGAAGACCTTGTGCAGTACGAGCGCACGAACAAACGAACGACAAGAGACAGACAAACACGATATTCCTGATGCGATATACGATACGATAACAAAAGTTTATTCATGCCAACAAATTGCCAAAAACAACATTGACTTCTAAAGAGTTTATTATGATTATTAGATGAGCATAGAGTATATTTAAGAGGACGGGCAAGAGGAGCTTCAACGCAGAAGAGAGCAGAACTATTTTGCATAGATAATCCAATAACAAAATCTGTGTATATTTGCATATATAAAAGAAAAAGACGAGAGAGGGAGAGAGAGAGGAGGGATTCCCCATGTAACCAATTTGGAAATTTTATTGCTTCCATCATCTATTATTTCAATCGTTTAATATAGAGAGGAACTAGCAGCGGCCTTGAGATCAATATAATCTGTGATTAACATTAGTTTTAGCTTGAAAGGCATATATATACTATAGCATATGTTTAGCATGTTATTATGTAAATCTGAAACACCATTTAAGCCAAAGTATGCAAAGTGAAAGATTTAAAGACTTAAGACTTGAGACTTTCCAATGAATAGGTATTGGGCTTAGAATTGTCTTAGCTCTTGTAGAGTCGTACTCGAAATAAGATACTCAGACAGGCAAATTTGAAGACTAAAGACTTCACTAAGATTCACATTTAGCTGTTCAATCTAAGAATTGTCTTAGCTCTTATGTAAGCTCGAGCAGAGTCTCATTTGAAACAAAATAGAAAAGTCTCCAAGCTCAGCTTCTCTGGCTTTCAAAAACCCAAAACTCTAGCCATGGCACGATCGCATCATTACACAAATTGTTTGGTCAATGCGAGGCAGCTGCTGCCTCTACCGCTGCCGCTGCTGCTGCTGCCGCTGCTGCTGCTGCTTTAATTGCAGAGAGACAATTTTTCGAGGTGGAGTACGTGGACAATGACAGGAAGTCGAGGCTTTGGCATTAATTAGAGGCAGCAGCAGATCGCGCCAGTGTAACACAAGTGTGCAGCGTCATTTTGGGGTCCGTGTCATTCAAGCCACGCCCTGTTGCAAAATCACCTTCGAGCCAGCCGCTAATCAGACTTTACGGATTTCTTTTTTGTTAGGCTATACCCCTTGAAAGGCGGGAGAGCGCAAAGGGGTAGCACGGCAGAAAGGTGAAGCCACAACAGAGTTGTATTTTTATAGTTTTGAATAGATGTTCAGGTCCGTCGGGCATTGATAGTTTCGTAGGCTAGCTACAGATCACAGATACTCCTCCCCTGTTTACGGCACTTGCTAATGAATCAGATGGTAGCTCCCAGTCGAGCATGCCCGATTTTGATTCACTTTGGCTCTCTGCTCGTATTTATTCAATTCATTAATAGACTATTTACAGTGTTCGGCATATGTAGGTCAGTTTTGAATATATGAATATATGCATTAAGTGGCATTTCAATGCCAGCTGAGCAGCGCAATCAGATCAAATATATAGATATAGATAGTATTCGCTGCTAAATTAGCAATAGTTACTACACAGACGGTCAATTGCTAGAGTGCCAAAAAAAAAAAAAAGGGGGAAGAGAGAGATGAATATTGGGGCTTTAGTTAAAAAGTAAAAGCAGATACATTAAAAATTTGCTGCCAGATGACATAACCATTGTGGCCAAGACGTCAAACGGGCTTCGTTGTCGTTTATTGCCGGTTTCTGACAGCTCTCGCAGTTAACACTCCACGCCGACTCTCCCGCGCGGTGTTGACAACCTTCACTCTCCCTTTCTACGCTGCCCAGCGTGTTTCGGCTGTGCTCCCTCTCTCACTCACGCACTCTCTTTTCGCGTCTGTCTCTGTCCCACTTGTTTTGCTTCGCTTCCATTTGGCTCTTGGCTCTTGGCGCTACGCCCTACTTAATAGCCGCTGACCGTTGGCCGTCAGCCAGCTAATCAAAGGCCCACCGAGCACTACCTCTGCCGCAGCTCCCGCCTCGATGAGTCGGCGCTAGCGAGGATCCATTCCAGCTGAGGCTGAGGCGGATGTAGAGCTGCGAAGGTCGCTATAAAAAGGGCATTGATCGAAGTGCACCTGCTAGGCACATGACTAAAGCTGTCCAGTCTAAGGTCTAAGCCCTTCGCTACACGCAGTCGTATAGACATTTTTATAGCCGCAGCTGAGGCAGTACAATGTTTACTTTGATCTCAATGTCAGCTCCCTCTCCCTCTCTCTCTGCCGCCCTCGCTCTTGATTAGAATTCCGCAATAATGGAAATTTCTCCACTTACAAGTCATTGTCAACATTTAGTCATATATTAGTATGCATAATCTCTATAATTAGCGTTGCCAATTGGCCATCATCATTAGGCATCGTTTAAAATGGCATTGCAACTGGCCCCGCTCAGATTACGCTACAGTTTTGGGGATATATCCATTAGCTTTTCGCCACATTTCGTACAGTTTTAATATCTTTATTTCTCTTTCGCCATTGCCTATTCAAAGGTTTAGTTTTTCCATTTTGTTGATTTGCAGCGAATTTCTTAAAACTCTGCTTAAAGCTTACACACACACACACACACACACACACATAGTGGAGCACCACTCGCTAAACGCCGTTGGCGTCGCTGTCGCAGTCGCTGCCTCTGCCGACGGCTGCGCTGTCTAAATAAAATTACATAATTCTTATTGCGGCGTTTTCTGTTGTTGTTATTGCTGTTGTTGTTGTTGTGATTTATAAATTGCTTTAACTGTTGTTGTCGGTTGGCTGTTGCAGTTGTTGTTGTTGCTGCTACTATTGTTGTTGCGCACACTTTCCACACATAAATCGCATTACTCATACGACGTGTTGCCCAAGAAAGGTTCAATATTTAAACTTGACACACACTCGAACGACACGCCTAATCGAGCCACTTAAACGACAGAGCACGTGTAACGGACATGCACAAGAATGCAAACCTGGCTACTCAATTGCTAGCACACTAATTAACAACAACAACAGCCAGTGGACTAGGCGTTAGACCTTGCACCGGCCCTAAACAGAAAAGTGGCCAAAGTCAAAGCGAATCTAAGCCAGACTTGCAGATATTTTGTATTTGCTGCTTACACACACACACACACACACATACACCTATTGGCGCTGGCTAGAGAATCAATTCAATTGAAATATTCTTAGCCACGCTTTTATTTGCGGATAGTCTCTTCTTATCTATTTTCTTATCTTATCTATTATCCTATCTTATCTCTTACAGATCCTCCTTTACACTTTGCTATCAACAACAAAATGTGGCAGCCGAGTACACAGCATTTCCTGGCGCTGATCTTCTGCAGCGCCGTCTGCCTGATTAGCGCAAGTCCTCTTCCCTTGCCCGCTGGCAATCAGGAATTGGATGTTCTGCAAATTCCCCTAGCTAACGGAAAGGTAAGTCGAAAGCATAAATATATCCATATATAAATAGGAATAGACAAATGGAGGCTGGGTTGCCTGGAACAGACAGACATTTTCTACTCTACTCCAACTTAATTTAATAATACTTAGCAATATATCTATATAATACGCCCATTGCGGAAAAATGAGAAATGGGGATAGCAGCGAATAGATAGGCGATATTTGAAGAATAACTGAAACGTGTAACAAAGTCACAGTCATGAAGTCCTTATGACTGAGGGGATACCTTGGCGTACTCTCTCTCTCTCTCTCTTTGATAGACCATGTGTGGAGGATCTTACCAAATGTTGTTGCTGTGGCTTAACCGATTAGCCACGCCATTTGTTAATTTATTCGCAAATCTCTATTAAATTTAATGGAAGATTAATATATCCAATAAACTCTTTTTACTGCGTGAATGGGTGTAGAGGCGGGAGAATGGCACTGAGTATTTGCCGCTTGAGTTGTAGCAAAGGCTTTAAAACACTGATTGTATAATACAAGCAGGAAAACGAATGTAAAAAGTCAAAGACTAGACATAAACTTGAGATGCATAAAGTCCTGACTTTTGCCATTCATATAAATGCGCCAGGAAACTATTCGGATAAAGTAAAATGCAGACGAGCTGCCCATCAACATGGAGCACGACATTTATTGAGCATATTGGCTGAACACTTCCTGCTTGATTGTCTGAGTTATGGCAATGATCTTCAGCGGCCCAAAAGTAGCATTTTTCGCTTGGGACGGTGCACGCGCTCACGTTACGTATACGTCGTGTGCTCCTGCTGCCCTTTCATGCTGCTGGCTGCTGGCTTCTGGCTGCTGCCGATCTGCGCTGCGGTGGGCTGGCGAGTGACTTAATGGAGTTGGTTGTCCAACAAGTTAGTCGAGCTTGGGCAGCAAATTTTCCTTTTACTTTTCGGCTGCAGCTGGAACAGAGGCCGGAGAAAATTCAGGTCTTGGGGTCTATGTGCCACTAAAGTCGAAGTCGAAACCCGCACAACCAGTTTGCCTGATACCAATTGCAAGGAAGTTGGCACACTTGCTACCAGTTTGCACGGCTTGCACTGGCTTTAGAGCAATGGCCCAGACATGTGGCTTGGGTGTTGGCCCAATTCGCGTAATCCCCGCTTCAAATGCGCTCGACTCCGACTGGCTGGCTCTGCGTCTGGCTATCTGTCAAAATGTCCATGTACAATCACAGCATTATTTAATGGCCCCCCAAACAATTATGAATTTAGAGTCTATTTCAGACTAATTTTGCTTTCATATTGGACCGTTTAATTGCGCTTTCAAAATCTGCAGCAAAAAAAAAAAACAAAAAAACAAAAAACCAGACAAATATAAGCAAATCTGACATAGTCCAAACGAGCAGCCAGTGGATAATTTTTGCATCCATCGATGCCAGCTGCAATTTGTCTCATTCATGCACTGTGATTAGCACCTAGGTCACTGTTTAATTGTGGATTACGCGCTGATTTGTTGGCCAAGACAACTGAGGCAATCATCGGCATAGCCCAGGCCAGCTTTACGGAATAATATGCCAATTACGGTTGATTTGCATGACTTTTGCTACCTCGCTTGACTTGGCGATGTGACTGTTTCGGTCTCGAGCTGAGTGAATGTCCAAGATGTAAAGTTCTCCTGGCTTGAGCTGCCAGAAATTCATATAGCCTGCCATTAGCTCCATAGACATACGAAACTGCGGACGCAGAGATGGACTGGTGAATGAACGGAAGGAATGACACCGTCTTCTATCAGAAGAAGACTGACAGAAGGACGATCCGAATTACGGATGAAATGAGTGACAGAAGGACAGAGGAAACGATGGACCGTAAGACGAACGGAAAGAAAAGAATGTAGAGAAGGAGCCAAGAAAGACAGGCCAACAGAGAGTGAGAGAGAGAGAGAGAGAGAGAGAGAGAGTAAGACGAAATGATCGAGAAAATTAACAATTGAGGCAGTGAAGTTAGTCAAGCCTCCTTCAGTATATCACAAGTAAGCATAACACTCTGCTTACCCATGTGTAGAAACCCTGCAGTTGGATTTGCTCAGCTGGCTCAGGGAGTCTTCTTTGAAGGAGGAAAGTGATTTATTCACAAATTTCTAACTGGTTAAGTCTGATGAAGCCCAGTATATAATAGATCGCAGAGTGTAAGCTTCAAACTAGCCATGTGTAGCTCCTCAGAGTCCCGAAGAATCCTTTGACATTGCATCTATGGGCACTTTCCGCCTAGAGTATTTGCATAGTGTCTCTATGCATTTTCATTTAATTTATTTAACTATGAAACGATATAGCTTCAACAAGGGCAATTGAAGCGCACTGACTATCAAATGGCAACAGCAGAACTAGCTGAAGCAACCTCAGCATCAGCAGCAACACGTCAGCCCAGACAATCCAACAATTTCCTCTGTGGGATTGCCCCCTAGTGACACACACACACACACGCGTGCATACCCACTGCACAGAGAGACAGAGAGAGAGAGAGAGGGGGGCAAGTTGAGCAGCTCAGCTGACGCAGCTGGCACAGCTGCCTTATATAATCTTTCAGCTAGCTGCTCGCCGAGCAACAAGCACACATCACGCATACGACGCGTTGCGCCCCGAATGCGCCGCGACGGTAGCCACGGCAATTGCAGCTTGTTGTTACCAATATAACATGCTGCTAGCACACAGCACAGTAGCAGCAGCTAGCACGCAGCGATTACAGTATATTGTGGCTGTTATGCTTGATGTTGCTGCTGATGCTGCCATTGTTATGGTAGACAATTTGTTACTAGCTGCATTTTCAAGTGGCAAACGAGACGCGCTTGCCAGTCAGTCATTAAGTCGCAGCCGCTTGCGGTTGCCGTTGACGACGAATCAGCGCGTTCCAGTCGGCTGCAACCGACTGCGAAATACCCGTTTGCAAATAGATAAATAGCTTGCAGTTCATATTGGCCATAGAGGATGCATAAGCCTCAGAGCAGCCCTTATCATGTCGCTCCATAAAATATGCATTATTATATGCCAAACAGCCTAGGCTATGCGATCTATTTAATAAGCAGCCCATGCACTCTCTCCACTCTGAAACGTAGTGCATGCCACACAGTCAACGGTTGGCCACACCGCATGCTGTCAGCCTGCTCCGAATGCCACTACGACAAATCTATTATTAATATATTTTGTGTGATCGATAATTTCCGACATGGCTATAAAATCTTTGTCTGATTCGTTAAGCTGGGAAATGTCTGCTGCATGTTAAGTGCATTTACACAGCCAGCCTCGTGTGAGGCAAATGGCAAGTGTGCCCAGCTAGGAGATACCCTGCAGTCAGCCCGATTTCACAATAAACAGAAGACTTAGTCAAACAGGAGTTTTTATAGTGTCGGACTCTAGTGAAGAAAAAACTAGAAATATGAATGTGTGTGGGTGTGTGTGGGTGAGTAAATATATATGCATATAGGTATTTTAATATATATCTGGAGTATTTTACATCAGACTTGGACTTAATACAGTAGAGGTGGGCGAATCTTGTGGCTAAACTTACCTTTTTCGATTGATTTTATTTATATAATCTTCTTCAACATCATGTTTATGCGTGCAACAGTTTGCCTTGAATAAGTAGTTCGACTTATGGGAGCTCACTTGCCCAACAGATTTCTATGTAAATTTTATGTGCAATGTGATTTATGCCGATTTGCTTTTATTACCACATATAATGCAGGAACACGTTTTGAAGTCATTTTGGAAAAACTTAAGTTTAAGAACTGAGAAGTGGGGCTGCAAAATGGAGCTGCAAATTTGTGGAACAAATCTCAAAAGCCCAATAAAAAATCTCTCAATTTTATCTTCTTTTCAAGAAATTTATTGTGGTCTGAAAATACAACTTGCAATTGCAAAAAAAAAAAAATAAATAAATAAAAGTGTCCAAAACATTTTTTATAAATATGTAAATCTGCTGAGTTCAACAATTATGTATAATTATATATATTAAAGGTTTGCTGTTAAAGCCGTAATGTGCGAACACCTTCTCGACCAACCAGCTAATTATTAGCGAGAGGCTGTGCTAAAGTTGTGTCCACTGCGCGCGTTTTAGTGATCATTGGTCGTGGGCTCGCATCAGGTTTACTTCGGGTCTTGGACTCGATCGCTCAGCCACAGGCAGAGTATAGTGCGTTTGTCCTTCACATTTCAACTGTGCCATTATGACGCAGCATGGGGCACTTGTTGTACGATCCGAAATCAAAATTACAAAAACAAAAAACAAAAACAAAAACAATACCTCAATACTGTTGCTGCATGATTTTAAAGTACTCGAAGCAAGTTACTAATTGGACTTGAGCAATGATCAGCTCAGCTCAGGCCCGCTCGGCTTGTCATTATGCGGCTGTGAGCATAAGCATCAGCACTTATGTATTATTTATAAGGCAGTCGAGTTTATGCACTTACAAAGCGCATAATAAATTTCAGCTGTGCGTGTCGATCCTTTAAATATTTAGCAGTTTTTTGGTCTCGCATTAGTTTCTAGGCTAGGTCGCTGTGCTTAGCTGGCCATAATGAGGGCTAATTGAAGCTGTGAGCTGATCATTTAAGCTGTCGCAAAAGCTTTTATTGTATTTAAGCTAATGGCCACATTCCAATTTATGGTGAACTTGAAAAGACGAAGGCTCTCCACTAATAGACAGCTCCGAATACAGAAACTGCCCTTGTTACCTCAGCTGAGGCAGAGTGCTCGAAGATTCCATCTGCATGTATACACTCGAGTTATCCAGGTACAGTTTGAGACGCATTGCTTAGCGCTACAGTTTAAGAGATATGAATGAGATATGATATGAAATCACTTTCATGTGAAGATATGTCGACCCATCCTGTTTAGTATATCTCACATCTGGCTCGTAGAGTATGCCGTATTCGTTGTCACTCTGTGTTTCTTTCTCTCTTTTGTGTGTTTCTATATTATTTTCTGTTTCTCTCAGACATTAACATATATTAAGTTGGTTAAGGTCAAACA